TTTGCATTTAGCATGATGTGTTCTAATTTTTATCTTGTAACTGTTAATTTACTTTTATTTGTTTGTCTTCAGGACCAAAGGATAAGGCATAATAGTTACAATACATAATATTTGATAGAAATGATTTTTCAATGTAAGTCAATTAAAACGTCGATAATAAGTTAAGAAATCCGCTTACTTGTTGATAGGTGTATAGTTAAACAAAGCGATTTAATTTCGATGGCGCCAGCCGTAAGCTTTGAATATTTTAATGCAGCCGACGCCAGAGCTTGCGACACCGCGGCCGCAGCCGGACCGCATGCAATGTGCGTTGTCTGCCACCGACCAGATAACTCGTAACCAGTGAAAGCCTTGACGCGATTCCATTCGAATCGTTAAAACCCAAAAATTTCAAATCGAAATAAAACATTCCCTTCAAGAATGAAAAGGTTATTAAGATACTACATACTATCTTTCATTACTTAAAATTGTGTGACGTTATGACCAAATGCTAGTTTATTGAACAATGTGAAGTTAGATCGAACGACCTCAGAACGCAGCTGGGCAAATACTAGTACAATGTTAATACATTTCGCAATTACAACACTAACAATGACATCAGCGGCATATAAAGTTCGATGAGGGTAAAAACAATTTCTTTGTTGGTAACTTATGTGAGACGAGCCGGATTCTAACGGTGCGTACTGTTGGAGTTCTCCCACGCATCCCGTAACTTCTCGCTACAACACAATGAGCTGGTGTCAATGTTTAGGTTACAGTTTCGCACCTACTTGTCAATATATAATTTACTTTCGATGTATTTGTTTTTCCCGTCTTCTTAGTGACCAGAAAGCATGCCAAATAGTCTAAATCGGGAGTGCCGAAGTCGACATTAAATTAAATTTGGGTTCTTTTGCCAACACCGCGATGTGTGTATGTTGACATCCCTGTATAGTTTGTAAATGTACGTTAAATATGTCTAACCTTGAAAGGTTGATAGAGTTGACTCCTCAAAACATAAAACGCGTTAAATGACCTTTGCTGTTTAAACTAATGTAAGTTATTATGTCTAAAGACAGATAATGTATTTTGTAAGATATTTTTCTCATATCTGTACCGACCTCCCTGACTTATTTTAAATGCTACGATTTGTCCGATGATTCTAAAAGTACAAAAAGGCGCGTAACTTTTAATGTGATGTATCAAAAATGAAGAATGATCTGTGAACTCAACTCACTGCTTACCATTGGTTACACTTAAAAATATTATAAATAAAGTTGCCAAAAAAATATTTAGGCTTAACTTCAAACACTTAATATGAATACTGTATTGAGGAGACTTGAGATTAGATATACGTACATTTTTTTTTTCGTTTAAATATAAACAAACATATGGCTAACGGCAACCGCAACATAAAATACCGTTTATTGTTTGAAAATATACATTTCTTTTTTAATGTAGCTTACCTGAGTCTTACGAAGAAATCTCAGTCACCCAAATACCGAAGTAATCAGTTTTGTGAGTGACACGGAACGCGGCCTGTGGCGGTTACTCACATATGTGATGACGTCAGCGGTTAGCATGAGTAACAATCAGGTAAAATTAAACGTATTTAAAAACAACAATAATCGGCATCAGGAATTTAAATGTTAGTTTTAATTATGTAAACTTAAATCAAATAAATATTTATATCATTTACTAAAATTGGGAGGTCAAATGTAATTTATCTCACTCAGTAATATTTTCTACAGACGTAACGTTATTTGATTATACACGATAAATAGTAGGGTAAAACACATATATTAAAATTATCAGCTTAATATTAACTGCCCAAATTAGAAAGTATCACAGTGAACACAAGAATAACCGATAATAAAACTCACATAAAAACTGGGTAATTACGGCTAAAGTTTATCCGAATTAAGATAACAAATGTGAAGTGTTGTTACTCAATGTGGTTCAAAGTTTAATTAAATAATTTATTTTAATTTTACGAACTATTGACTATGCTTGTTTCCATTTACATCTTTGGCATAAACGAGTAAGTACGAGTACAAGTTCTTTGAAGTTCGTTGTTAAGTATCGCAGAAGACCTAAAAGTCGTATGTAAGACGACAGCAACACGTTTGATCTGGGGGCGAGGGCTAACAACCCCTTTAATTGGCGTTTGAATTTCAATTAGAACAAAGATACTGTTTCACTTAATCATTCTTTGTTTTTCACATTCATATATTTTATGTTTTCTTTCTTATTTTCAAAGACTTGAGCTCATTTAATTTCGTTAGAAAATAAATAAAAATTATTTAACTGATCATGTGTAGGTTAGTAACGGAACCTTGAAGTGTTTTGTTTGGTTAAAGAAATATGCGCACGATATATAAAATGGAATGAGACGTCTGCTGAGTGAAATAACCCAGTTTGTTTAATCTACATACGAAATATTTTTCGCATCATTCGACATGCACTACGGCATATGTGAATATTTTACAAAATAAAACCGAGTTTTTCTTTTTAATTACAAAAAATAAAAGATGGTAAGGACTACTATTATGTTATTAAAACAAATAAGGTTTATTAAAAGCAGAAATAACTAGACGGAGATATAAAAATGGCGACTAGGATAGCTCAGACAAAGATGGCGGAATGGATTAGACGTCTTCGACAGAAACTGGTCAGGTCGCGTTAATAATAGAGACTAATAGTGGAATATGAGAATAGTCTTAAGCTAAAAGACTATAAATGATAACACTGATGCAAGGATATATGCAGTTTGATACAGATTCCGAGATAAGTAGATGTGAAGTTTCCACTATATAAGTGCAAATTGTTGATAATTTAACTCCGACTTGTTCGACTCAGACAGCTACTTTAGGTTGAATTTTGCAAATTATTGACTTCAAAACTGTTACCATCGAAGACTAAACTTGTCTTAGCAAACATATTTAAATGTAAATTTATGTTTAGGTATACAGGGCTAGTTTATGTAAATATATTCGATGCTAGTTTAACGGCATCCAATACAATCTGTACCGCTGCAAAGAAGCCACATAATTACAATAGATTGCATTCTTAAGATAAGCTAGTCGTCGTAGACACGTAATGACGTTTAATCACGAACAAAGGCATGACGGATGACATTGTGCTCTCACGCCGTCTACAAAAACAAATAATTAAAAAACTCGATAAATAATATTTAGTAACAATGGCAAATAAAAAATTAGATTTATGATTCTTTTTGATCGAATAATTTTAAAACGCTGATTCTACTTACTTCATAGATAACTGAATATTTTCAAAGATTGGATCAATAAAGTTAATCTCAGTATTTGTAAAATCACTCTTATTGGCTTGTTACAACTTGCCTGCGGTTACTTTTCAAATCATAGTAACGAATGTATAAATCAAGATAACAGTGACCTAGTCACTGTTTTAGAGGTCAATCTAAAACTATATAGTGTTAAAGAACTCTAGCACGTAGAAAAATAAGTATTTTTTTAATAGAGTTTCCCCTATTGAAAAAAAATAAAAATACTAAATAAATGGGAACACTTTCATTAGGAAAGGTTTTAGAATTTTTTAATTTTAAAGTTGTTTAGTAAAGATACTCAATAACGTCTCGACCTTTGTGGAAAACGCAAACAAGTGATGGCCAACAAAGTCGCGACGGGAAAGAATTCTCAAGTGTTTTTATCACATTTATTATAACCAGTTTTATTTCTCATCCCTGCGTATTACGTATATTTCATTTAGTAATGTATTATTTATTCATTATGCGATATTACTTTATCTTAACTTCATTAACTTAAAGAAATGCAAAAAATAACTGTTATTTTTGATTCAGTAGTCCTAATTAGGATGAAAATTATGTTGAGTTATGTCTTTTATATAACATCTTTGTTTTTAATTTCAAGAAGATTTAGTCATCGTTTTTATAATTAGTTGTAATTTTATTGAGGTTATTAAAACGTGTAAATTAGACAATTTCTAAGAATTTAGTTTGATTTGTAGCTACAAATGAGTTTATAAAAATATTATGTCGATAATTCTATCTTGTACAAATGAAAATGAAATTTCATCAACAATATAGATATCGTGATATACCTGCCTAATCATAATTGGGTATACCGGAAAGAGAAATCCGAGCGAAATAGATAAATGATTGGTTTATTGTTTATTCCTTGAACAAATAAACGAAAGTTTTGGTCTCAGCCTCCTTTCACTAATGTCTATTGATTCGCGAAAAGATCTTCGGCGTTGATAAAATAGATCGCACGGAGCGAACGCCCGCCGCGCGGTCAGCGGAGCCCGAGACAAAATAAATCTTCAATTGGGTCAATCAAATGCCACGCCAGGCTTAATGCTCGCCCCGACTTGCTAATGCTTACGTCTCAGCTCATTACTAACACTATTTGATCGTGTTTGCTTTATCTTCCTTAAAAGCCCAGTTGCTTACCTGAAATATTCATAGTAAATAACCGGCTGCGTATATTTTCTATCCGCTCTACTATACCTGACAAATCCGTCTCGTGTGCACAATCACACAACGTATGCTAGGATTGCTAGACCTAGGTAACAGTATTTTTCAGTAATCTTTTTTTATTATCTTTTCTTTATATATATAATTCTTCTGTGAGTGTGTATGTCACTGAACTTCTCTCAAACGACTGGACCGATTTTGATGAAATTTTTTGTGTGTGTTCAAGGGGATCTGGGAATGGTTTAAATTCACAATTTTGTCCGCTGGACAATGTTTTTTTAATTAATTTTTAATTTATTAGTAGTTGTTGATTTTGGAATGTTTTACATTGGATCCGACAGACGGCGCTACCATCGCAGTGTCAAATTTTAAATAATATTCGAATTAAAGACGTGTAGACAGGACAACGTCTGTCGGGTCCGCTAGTAACTAAATAAAAGAAAGTCAACAAAAACTTATTTAGGGCTTCTATTTTATCGATTCCGTATTTAGTCTAAGTGTTTTTTTTTAATTGATTATTTTAACGCGGTTTTTCTTTCTGCAGATGGCACAGTTGCTAACTGTGCGGCTGAACAAGTCTGACCAGCAGCCGCTGGGATTCCGGCTACAGGGCGGGAAAGATTTCGGCACACCGCTAGTTGTCCAAAAGGTAACATTTAATATTATATTCTTGTTAAAATATACATTGAAATTCAACCTAACGATGACGGCGATAATAATCTAGTTATTATTTTTTTAACTGTTAGCAAATGTATTTATAGCGGTCGCGATAGCAACAAACATGAAAACGTTTAAGATATGACAAAATAAGCAACGTGTCGTGTGAAAACAGAGCTCGCGCCGCCCACGCGGTTGCGGCCAGTATCCGCAAAAAATCCACTCCGATATTTACATCTCTCTGATATAAAAAGCTCCAGTTTTTTTTTACATAGGCTATACTGGTCGCGAATAATTCTTATAAATAATTCGCGCATCGCATCATTTCCTAGAACTGTTATACGCAGGAAAACATTTGTTTAACTAGCGGATATATTCTTTGTGTTGTAATTTACCTCCAAAGAGGCGTTGCTTGTTATTTCATGTTCGTCATGAATGTACATTTGTCATGTGTTATCTTAGCTATATTCAAATAGGTGATTAGTTATCCAAAGGAGCTTTTACCTCTCATTAACTGTTAGGTGGCCTCGTTAAAGTTTCGACACTCGTCACCGCTTAAATGCCTCTATATCATAGTCGTGTTGTGATCTGACCTCATGTAGTCAAGGGAGGTTAGTGCCAGATATTGGTAAGTGAACGTTGATTACTTTACTTCATGAAGGTTTACAAAGAATGATGGTCTCGGAAATATGACTAAGTTATTAAGTAAGCCGTTTTTTATGATACTAGAAAGTAACTTGCAAACCCAACTCGTTTGTTTAATTTATTCCTTAAATTACCAACTTTCCCATTAAAAAACCTAAAATATCAAAATATTTTAATACGACGTTAAAGTGTTTTTATCGCATCGTGACATTTAAAGATAAAAATATATGTTACACCTGCCCACGTGTGGCCACAGAACAATGTCTCAGAATCTATCATCTGCCCATGCCTCGCATTGCGGTCGTGACGTTTGGTAATGTCAAAATAACCGACATAATGACGATGATCTCCTGGCCCCAACGGTACTTTTGTTTGACTTATCGACGATAGATTTCTTCGGCGTGCGTTCAATGAGCGTCATACTTACTAAATAGACGCATATAAAAAATTTACATGTAGTCAAACGGCTGCTAAATTGCGTTGCGTCCTAACACGATGTCACTGAACTTTTAATTCCCGGATCTTCGTTGATGCGGAGTTAAAATACGCACTGAAGTACGCAAGCATCTGTTCAGCTCATAATTTTAGGTGTTAATCTCCTTTCCGACTATGTCTATTTACATTTAACATCTCAGCTTAGTCGATGGGTACCTAGCTGGGAAATTATTTGTATATAATATTCTTGATGGACTATGACTTTAATGTCAAAGATTTATTTTCGATGAAAAAAATAAGATTTGTAAAAATGTCTTCCATTGTAATGTTCGATAAAGCCATTGTTGAATAGAAATAGGAAAGTAATTATTGCGAATTAGTTGCTAAGCAGTCTTTCCTGGCGCGAATGGACTAGACCTGTCAACGTATTCAAAGTCTGATTTGAAATTAAATAGTTTGTAACTTCTTAAAGTACTTATTTTATATTACTGTTTGTAAAATGACAAACATATTTGATAAAAAGACATTTATCTGTTTTAATATTTACTTACAATATTATATTTGAGGTCTTTTTGTTTCGGTTACAAAATATGTAGATCTATATTAGGCTACAAGTTGTCCGTAATTGCAAGACAAGTGATAAAACCTAATTTAGACAATGTTTGAAGTTATAAATGGTTTTATTGTGAAAACGCTTATTCCTTAGAAGCTTTGTAATGAATAAGCGTGAGTTAAATTGTTATACTTAACTAAAATTATTTCACAATATCCTTTTTGCAAACTTGTCATTTCAAGTTTTCTACAAAGACGTCGCGAAGATTTTTGTTTTCCAATACCACTTAACAACACCATTTTATAAATTTCTATCCTTATTGACTGTAATTTTTTCCGGAAATATTTAATCACACCTTACAATTACTGTTAATGATTTTTTACTCATTTCGTAGGTAATCCTTGCGTTATTCTGTTTCACCTCGATAAGTACATGTTACTTGTACATTTATATTGTGCATACATATCAGCATTTTATTAATATCACTACCACTGAACGGCCTTCTATTTCCGTTTCCTCTATAAAACATATTAACTGTAAACTTTGTTTTTAGGTTATGCATGTAACCTTTTAGAATATTATATGAAAATAACAATTTAGGACCATGCAGTACTGCATTACTTTTATCCTATTAAAAATAAACTAAAATTTTGTCGTATAACTAATAAGTTGCCACTCGACTGTATTTCCATCGATGAATGTCAGTATCTTTGAAAAAAAAAAAATATACCTCACTTATAGTATAAGATATGTGCATATTCAAACTCATCATGGGGTACAGATTCACTCTTATTGATCGGAATCGGGCTGACTCTGCAGGGCAGGAGTGGCCGGCTATCGTTGCGCAACCCGAGACGGGTTTCTTGTTCCGAACACAATCTGAGTCACGTATTGTATACAGTAGGTAAGGTAAGGATTTGTTTTGAAACTAGAACGCCGAGCGACAACGTTCCGTGGATTATCGCCCCCGGTATTTTCTAATTATTCGGCTATCGCTACTAGCTATGAATACCAGAGTCGGCTTTCCGAGATATAATGTGCGACAGTTTCTGCATTGTTTGTATTTACTTACAGATACCTGATAATAAGTAAAAATATACAGTCGAAACGTTTGTGAAGGTGAAGAGAGCTATTGTTATAATTACTTAAACCTTTCCAGCTTCCGACTGCAACATGGTAAATCCATAATCTATTGTTCTTTTGGTAGTAAGGTAAATTTGCATGTAATTTTACAAATTTCTTAAACACAAAACAAAAGAAGATTAACAAAAAAATGTTTGGTGGATTCTGCGAATATTGAGTCATCAATATTTTTCGCCAAAAACTGGTTGTAACTGGATATTTGTTCAGGCTATTAACTTAACCAATAGCGAACTTTGGAGATCTAACTCTTTGAAAAAAATATTAACAGAAAATTGAAACTCCTAAAAAGTAACATTATACAAGGCTATGTAAAAGTATCACACATTTTTCTATTGGCAACCTTCGATTTATTTAAATAAAAGCGTAATAGAAGTATGCTAATAGAACACAAAACTCGTAATTAAAGGGTTATCTACACACAGATTCAATGTCAAATTGTAAAACGATAGATTACCTTGAAAGTCGCGAAAATTCAATGTCTCGCTGGCATTGAGAATGTGGGCTAAGTGTCACACCGACCTTTACGTTACTGAGGATTCTTCACATAAAACATTTAGGTAATGTAAAATTTACTAAACAATTTGTTGATTAACGTCAAAAGTCAAGTCATATTTAATTCATTAATAATAAAAAAAACTCTACAAATCGAAAGCGTAGATAGGCTATAGTTTTTCTATAAAGGTAAGGTTTCGATGAAGGAGGAAAAGAATCGATCTTTTCGAAAATCCTTTATCATCTAAATATAGGACTCTTTTTCGTGTACTATAAATCTTAAATTGAATAAAAATGCTTTATTATTAAAAAATAAGGTTAAATAGTCTAAGAAGCATAATTCTTATTTCAGTTTTGCTGAGGGTTGCGACTTTTCTTCATTACGTGTTCACTGTTTTCTACCGTCTTGCGACATTTTTTGCGATAGTAAAAATATTTAAGAGTATGTAGTGTCTTTTAATTTATGTAATTTTATAAATTTGTTATATAGATTAGAAATATTCACGTAAAACGGCATAGACGTATAGAAATTTTATGTGTTAAATCCTGTCAAAGACGAAAAGGAAGTTACGATAACAACATCCAATACAAAAGAATTGGACGCGAACAATTTAGATTTATGATTGGTTATTACTCAGGAAGTTGCTTTGTTAACAAAGATATTGTTATCTGAGAAACCAGAACTGGAAACCATAATTTTAGATAACGATCACAATCCTGTTTAACTTCTTTGTATTTACCTGTGAAAGTTAAATATTTTTTTGATATTATTGTTTAATAAAAAAGTTTATAAAGGATGAACTAAAGAAGGCCAATAGATTTTATGATACACGAGGTATTTGATGCTCATAAATATTTAAAATTTCAATATCAGTCTGCTTTAATAAATATGTTAAAAAAATTGATAACGATTAAACTTTTCAATAAAATGGTTCGTTCGCTTCGCCTGCTTTACTTATTCGAAGTCGCTTCGAACGAGGACCGCTTGTAAACAATAACGAAAACATAATATGTGTCGGCCTCGCGCGGCGCGCCGGTGGAGGGCAAAGTGGGGAGGGCATTTAATCGCTCGTTCTTGTATTTCTGCTGCCGTATATGGAGTGCGCGCCACTCGAACTAAGGGCATCGCCAAAGAATAATCATGCAATACATTATTAAGGAAATAGGTGATTCATATTGGAATGTGACAAAGAAAGCTCATTGGAATTTTGGAGCTCGGTTACCTATTGGATGACCCAATCAGTTTAACTGTGAACATCGGACTGCCAAAATAATTTCGATATAATAATACCATTTTAAATTTATTCGACTTTACTAAAGCGAACACAAATGAAAAACCGTCTAAGATTAAGACATTTATTCAAAGTAAAACTGTCTATGTTTTTTTAGTGAAAAATTTGTTACAATAAAAACATAACAAGGTAAGAATTAGTGGTTACAGTCCAAAAGTAAATTTATTTAACTATCTTGATATACTTTTGGAGTGAGTCAGGTATGCTCTATTGTGTTTTTTAAGGATCAAACTAATAAATAAAAATAGGATGTAAGATTCCAAACTATTTCATTATTTATGTGTGTTACTCCTTAGGAGTTTAACTCATTTTGTAGTTATTGTTATCGTTTACGTTGAGGAATTTCTACGATTTTTTTAAGAGTTTTGACAGTGACTTATCAAAGAGGTCAAAAATCCCAAATCTACGAGCTACAAGGTTTGCTGAATAATTTTCCCCGAGGTCCTTATTTCACTAAACACATACTAGTTAGAACTACTATTTATTAAGTTGTTGGTCAGACGTTGCAAAAATAACTTGGCTCTAATGTCCTGCTACAAAGTTCGACAGTTTCTTTTTTTATATCATTAGGTGGCAAACGAGCGAGCGGCCACCTGAAATCGCTGAAATAGCGAAGTGACCGTTGCCCATAGACATACGCAATTGCATATGCGTTGACTACCTTTACCTATACTAAACATACTCTCCAAATCAATTGAATTAACACAATAAGATTTAACGAAATTCCACGTCTGTACGTGATAAATTCTTTGACGAGGGTTAGATTGTATACACGAGGTCAATGCCAACGTCTGCGGCGGAAGGAGTTTATTTCTTACAGCAAAGTTAGGAACGCCAAATCCTAAAAAAAAGGGTAAAGGTCTAAACTAAATAAGTTAATAACTTCCTACAAAATTATGGTCACAGATTAATTAAAAACAAAAGTGTTACTTATAACTTTATACAGCTAGAGTTATTACCGATTCAAAACGAGAACGTATTACGAAACGAGAAATTCCGACGTGTTGGAGGATCGCGCGCGCGTAGCTTTTTGCGCGCAAAAGCGAAAAAAGCTGCCGACGCATTGCACGGTCCGGTCCTGGCCAGACGGCTCACGTAGGGTTACCACAATTGAATGAAATGAACTTGTTTTGTGTGAATAAAACATGTTTATTGTATGAGGAACAATAAAAGAATTTTATGTTATAATTTTACATTTTCAATATTATTTAAATATACGAATTATTGCTTTTGCCATTTATCAATGTTTGACATAAGTAAATTAACAAACCTAAAAGGTACAAAACCATGGCTTACCAAAGAATAAAAAGGCATAACATTTTTGGAAAATACATTGCAAAAACTGAAATTTCTTTTTCTAGCCCTTATTGTGGCAAGATTCCTTTTTTGAAGAAAAGCAAAAAACAAAGTTAAAAAAACTAAGTTAACAATTATTTTATAGTGATCGTATATTTTTATAAAGCTGTATGTATGGGATACTATACAAAATGAACATAAGGGTTAATGTATTGTTGATAAGAAACTATACACTTGATTACTTAATTCATATATACATAATTCTTTTGTACTATAAAGTAATATTATGATTGAACATACTATTAATTTTTAGCAGTATTTGGTGTAACTATAGTAATAAAGGTATCAAGGTATGGGTGACAACTGGTAACCCTAGTCAGTGATGATCTCATTGTGTCTGACGTCACCGCCGCTTCCTTCCGCCCCCCGCGCGTCGCGCATTCCGCACTAAAATACCCTGTGCCCGGCGTCTGCGCTAGGAATCACATGTCAGATAAAATCCAGGACACCTAGATATGCACGTGTTGAACGTTAAACTTGTTTCATTACTCCGGTTCTTCGTTGCCATGATCAATTTATAATTAAAACTGCAAGTTTATTCCTGTACCGATTGCAATGCAGACCAATATTGTCTCGGGTTTTCCTCGTATACTATATGAGGTTTATGTAAACATGTACTCGTATACAGAGTAGGGAACTTTTGAGTACATACATCCATTTATAAAGATCATTCGATATATTTAAATTTTTCACACCAATACACACCAAGAATCTGACCATCTTACGGTAAAGGAAAACATCGTGATGCAACCTGCACACATCTGCAAAGAATCTCAAAAATATGTGTGAAGTTAACTAACCCGCACTGGGCTAGCGTGGTTGACTATGGCTTAGTGACCCCTAACTTAGGGTAGGCTCCTAGCCCCTCAATTGGGACATATAGTGAGCTGATGATGAAGATACCAATGGGGGTTTAGATCACTTTTCATTTATGAAAACAATTAAAATATATGCATGTATACATAAATAATATATTTTCAAGTGAGACGGTGTTTTTAACGGGAAAAAGTGAATCATGTTAATTTAAAGCTGTGTTAATTGTGGTTTCCGACTAATAATAGTTGCACTGATGATGACAATTCGCTACTGTGTACGCTAACTCTCAATGACGTAGAATACAATAATAAGTCGCTCATATCTAATTATTATTATTCGAATATTCCATAAATAAGCATTCGAAAATTATTCTATGATCACCACATAAGAAATATGTTGATTGAAACAAAATATAGCGCAGCCGACCGCTTTAAATATCGAGAATGGAATGTAATTACAATATATTAAGTGTTCCATTGACCGCATAAAATAAAAACCGCCCTTAAGTCGTTTCGACGCGTGCCAAACGTAAAGACAGCTGATGCATTCTTGGACATCGCGCAAAAAACATCGTCGTTGTGAGAATTAAATACGATGCTATTATGTAATTAATTACACAAAGGACTTGTCTACTGAGTTATAAATAACTTTTTAAGATAACGTCATTGAATTCATCATATCTATATGTAGAATGCCTAGATCGAATCCCGAATGACGTAGCTGATATCCTCATATCTCCTTGTCCTTTTCCATTTGAAGGGTCGGACGCCTAATGACTTGTGTCTAGTCGAAAAACTAGGACAATTCAGATTGCGTGAAGTATACCACACAGTACCAAACATGATTACAAATTAAAGTTGAACTTTACCCTTTGAAAATTACGCGTTAGCTTCGTTAAGGTAATTTAAAGTGCAAGGATTTAAGTCTTACCGGAAGAACATAACACAGATTTAAGAGATTTATAGTAAAAGTGAGGCTATATTTTTATTTAATGGAGAAATTCCTACAATAGCTGGTTGACTATTGAGTTGCTTAAATGACTTACCCTTTGTTTTTAAGGTGAACGGCGGCAGCGCTGCTGAACGCGCGGGGCTGCAGGCTGGCGATGCGGTCATCCGCGTCAACAACACCGATGTGTTTAACCTTCGCCACCAGGAGGCTCAGGACGCCATCCGCGCCGCCGGCACTGCCCTAGAACTGACAGTGCAACGGTAATTACAACTTTTAAATGTTACTTAATTTATTTGATTGAAACAAACAAATCTTCCATAAACCCAACGGCCCATTATCCTATAGATTCCGAAAAATATATTAACATGCACTTGCATCAACAAGCAGCTTTTATGATAACTAAATAATTTGTAAATATGTTCAACGAAACACTCAAATGTGTGAAGAATGTTTAACTTAAATAATAGCGGAATGATGGTACATATATTGTATTTATTTTATATTGCCTACATAATGTATGGGTTTTTAGTTTTGAATACTGCAGGAGCTTGACCAAATTTGTGAACTCTGGCTGTGCTCCAATCTAGTATCGCTTAGCAATAGGATTTTTTATTGGAGTAATTTTTCTCACTATTGCCGCTATGATACTTGCATTACAAGGAAAACGATGAAACATGTTTAGTGTTATACAGTGATTCAGATGTTTACGTATTCCTGGATTTGTCCTCACTTAAGTTGCAACGCATTTATATGATCTCTCAAGCCTTTATATTTAGAAAGACTTTTAATAACACCCACGAAAATATCATTGAACAATGTACGTAAGTTATAATTAAATTTTACAATACTCCTAACTACCGGGAGATCTTTATTTAAATCGCTATACGTAATAATTAAAAATAGATGTGTTATTTCCGATTCATCGTTGAAGGCTAAATATTTTTGTTTTATTTCCGCTGTGGTTCATTGTAAGAATTTGAATCTAAATGAATAAACTGACAAAATCTGATTGGACTGTAAAGTTGACTACAGCGTATACTATTTAAAAGCTATAATCCTAATTTTATTTTAACAACAATACGATTTTGTCATCTCCAGCGGTGGCAGCACTTGGCGGCCAACAGTGACTCCGACAGGCAGCCTGCCGCGGCCAGGCACACGGCCACTGGGTGCAGCACCCGCACCGGTCACCAGCACCAGCCTCAAGGCCACACCTCAGCCCAACCGCAACTTCGGTTCCGGACACAACAATGTCGCTAAACCCTTCGGCTACGTACGTATCCAAAACTAACGCCTGGTCAATCCATTTGTCATCAATCATAGTTTTTTTTCGGTCTTAAATTGCTAAAAAAGTTTTTCCGGTTAATTTTAAACTCAACCGATTTCTCGGTGTACTTTTGTATTTTAATTATGGGTAGTAGATAAAAGTTGATAAATGAAAACTCTACGCAGTTCAATTCTAATCTTGTCTTATCAAAATAGTACACAGGAATCTCCTCAACATGTTTATCGAATCTATTTTCATAATAAATAAAATAATCGGTATTATGTAAGAATAACTTCTACGCAACGTATAATACGCTTTGTTCACGTCGATAATAGAGATTAGCAGTGTCAGCTATTTTTTTTTATTTACCATATTTTTCTACTCCGTCTACCTTGTGTTTTCTCTTA